ACAAGGTTATTTACGAATATAGGTAGCAAAACCGCAACCTGCATTTTACAAGCAACTTATGAGCAGGTAAAGTTTGTAATGGTGCAGTAGAGAGGAAGTCGAACGTTTCAACCTTACCACTGAACCCACCACGACTCGATTCCTCGCTTATGCTTCACAGCTCACCACAAGCCTCCACCCTACTGCACCATTACAAACTTTACCTGCTCATAAGTTGCTTGTGAAATGCAGGTTGCAGTTTTGCTATCTATATTTGTAAATAACCTTATAGACTCTATCGATCTACCAGGTCTCCATTCAAAGTTCCATGGTAAGTTGGCGGACTTGGCAAGTGATCACATGAACATACGGAGATAACATCACTTGGCAGTGAAACTCACGATTTCCTAGCTTCTGCCAAGAATCCTTCATCAACTGATTTGAAAGTCTCCGCAAAAACACGCTTCAGCTGCTTCTCCAGTGTGCTTAGATCGCTATCTGTAAAGACAAGGAAAAAGATCTGGTGCTGTCCTCAAAAACTCGCTCTGAAAAAAACGGCGATTTGATCTTGAATATTCACTTCTTTCAAAGACAGAGAAAGTTATAATTTCAAAAATAGCTCTCTGTCCGTTTGTTCAATTGATCACCGCCCCGCCCCGATTACTCACACGAACTCAACTTTTTCTTCAGAATTGCAGGAACTGTATCCTCGCAGTACTTCGCAGCACGAATCCCCGCATGACCATCGAATATAGCAAAAAGAGCACATCGCTTCCTGAATTTTAATTCATAATTCAGGTGAACGGAAACGAAAAAAGCCGGAAACACTCACACAAACGGCAAGTTGAGCGGTAAATCTTCCATTAGCAAATGTGCATCCTGCATATCTTCCCTCTGACCACGACGACAACCGATAACGCTGATGAGCTGCAGTGGTTCCAATCCTTCAATATGGTTATTTCGTTATCGTGTGCGAGAATGGTCACTAATACGCAATGACAGTCACACTTTTTGGACAAGGAGAACATCACGTAACAAGAGGGGACGGTGACCTGCACTCAAATATAAACTAGCTCGAAGCCAATACTGTGAAGGTAGACTACTGCAATGCGATAAACCGTAAGAAATGAATTACAGGTAGGAACGGCTAATTGTAATCAAGGGATCAGACGCGCATTAGCTGAACGCTGAACTTATAGGATGGCCTTACGCGCGAAAGTGTGAATTTGCAGCATGCATTATATATCTTTATTACCATAATGTTACTGGAAACTTATCAAAAACTTATAAACCATCTAACCGTGTCAATCCGATCGATGCTGGCTAGTTTGGCGAAGAAACCCCAAAACAGCTCGAAAGCTCAGCGTGAAATGGTAAAGATCATAGAGGAGTTGAGAAAATTAAAGATGCTCAGGGGCCACGTAAAATCGTCCCAAATTCCCTAACAGGTGGGGGGAGGTAGAACCTCCTAGATTATGTAGTTCACGCAGGGACCACAAAAGTGTAACTCCTTTTCGCTGCTCCCTCCAGGAACGTCTAAGAAAAGCTGAACTGTGAGGTGAGGAGACGTTTCGAATTCCCTAGATGACAAAGTTTTGCATTCTCGTAATTTTGTTCGTTCTCGTAGTTCAAACAAGTTGAAAACTTTTGTTGAAACAGAAACTTTGCCTTAAAATACCCGGATCGTTTTCCCAAAAACAGAGGAGGCTTTCTAGGCTGGGTTTTTGGTAAGCTCGTAGAACATTTTTTCACCTGTTGTTCCTTCACAGGGGCGCGCAGCGAAAATAAAATACACTTTTGTGGTCCCCGTATGAACCTCTAAGATCATTTTCAAAATGGGCCACTAACTGAAAGACCTTCCTTGTAAGTACAATTCCACTGGTTTCGAGAATTCTATGAACAATATGTGGAGAGCGACGGTTCTGATGAGCTCGTTTACGACGACATCATTACGATTCCATTTTTCCTATCGTGCCCCTTCCACCATGAGGGCTTACATTTTTGTTACTTATTCCTTAAGGCAATTGCGACTGCCTGACGACCAGGACAAGGCCTAGCTTCTGCGGCACCTCACCTCATCCTACTATATATAAACGGCAACGTCTGTCTGTTTGTCTGTCTGTCTGTCCGGAAATTCGGAATCACCTGAAGAGCCAGTTGGAGGGGGCGGGTCAAGGGTGGGTTGGGTAGGGCATGGGACTGGCCCTCCCACTCATGGAAAACTTCTCACCGGGACCCACTTCACACGCGGAAGGAGGATCGGCCGGCGAAGCCGGCCGATCCGACTGGTATGCTCATAATTCTGTAGGAAAGCGGTGCACTAAAACGTCTAACCGTTTACTTGTTTTGCGATTATTTAATTTATGTGACAACCCTGCGGCATAAATTAAGTTAGCCCTTCTCGAGAACAGATAACTTCATTAGTCCAAAAGACCTGTTCAATATGTTCGCTTAGTTGTGCTGGTGAGTGCGCGGAAGATCGGCTATCTAGACATGATTGCGAAGACTCTGCGAGCAGTTTTTATGTAACCTGGAAGAACACTGGTGTGACGGGCACCGTCACAGGTTTCCGCTCTTCACGCTACGAGTCTGATACTCGAGTTTAGAGTCAAACCCGTATCGGTAATTAACCCAGCGGAAACTGACCGAAAACCTTCCCATGCAAACAGGACGGGACAGCAAGGTGTCTTGGTAGGTTACTTGAGGATGATACAGCAGCCAAAAAATCCAAACTGCATTCGGATGGATTTCAGCCCCCAATAAAGCGTGCTGCACGTACTTCAGCCTATTCACTCTTGACTGCACCTTCAATAAATGCTGAATTCAATCACACTAGGCATGGGAGGAATTGCAGAGGACCCCTATTGCAGCTGTGACAGAAAAAAAAGATGGAATGGGGGATAAAAATACTTTTATCCATGTATAACTACGTAAATGAGGCGCAGATGGTGTGGTGGTAAGTGGCACTCTTACCATTCGAGCAGAGTTCAAATCCCGGGTCGACTCCGGCCCAGGCCAACTAAGCCTTGTACCTTCGGGACGATAAAGTGGTATCAGATCCGTCTGGGAGGATGAGGACACTGGTTCATCGGTGACCTCCGCAAGTCATTGTATAGGCCACATCGCATTCAATAAGCCACTACGATTCTGAATGGAAGTAGAATGCGTGCCGCATCCCACAAAGGGATTGATCAACGGCGAAGACTTTATCCTTTGACAATGTAAGTAATTGAAATCAGTGGTCTATGTTAGTAAAACAAAAGTGCTAAAACTGCCATCAACAGCACACCTAACGACTGTCTTCGTGAGTTGAATTGTCCGACGACGAATTTATATGGCTCGCACTGGCGCACTATCTCCGTTGTTCTCCACTTTCTTTGGGAGGTGTTACTGTGGTACTTTCAGGTGCAGTAGTCGATGCTTTGGCTTCATCACCGCTGTCGTACAAACCTTAAAAGGCAAATTTCTACACAATAACTTTGTCAGACTGCACGCGTTCCGAGATGTCAAGAATAGAGTAGGCTTAGTGCAACGAGGGGTTTAAAGAAATAGGAAGTCAAGAAACACTTCTAACATGGCGGCACCACGATCAGGAAACTAGCATATGAAGACGTTTTATTTCAATTCTCAAGATTTGTTAGAGTTTCTTTCCTCTTCTTGCATGCATTCGGCAAATGTGCGAATAAACAAAGTGAAGTCCAAGAAATTCAGATAATAAACTTCAACCTTTAAAAAATCGTCTTGTGTGGGTTAAATTGCAGTCGTAGTCCTTACCCATTTTCACGGCTTGTAACACCGAATGAGGCCAGAATTCTCTTGTTGCGAGGTGTGGGAAGGAACGTAGGGCGTAACTATCGTAATTGGGATTGAAGCCAATTGAACCAGTATTTATCGTCAACAGATGACCTTGTCGAGTGGTGAAGTCCAGCAGGTTTCCAAAAATACCATAAATTTGCAACCAGTAAGGGGCCATACATCTACATAGCAGAAACAACATGTAATTTTTCGTTTTTTTTTCCACCACGCAAAATCGATCGTGATTTCCACAGGTAGGATTCCAGGCCTTTCTTGTCAAATATTACAGGGTTGCTGAGTCGTGACCAAGGCAATAGGCCTTAGACGGCACTTGGACCTTGTTGTCGAGTACAGTTGAGGGAGAACACACGTGGTGTATGCGAGCAATTAGCAGAAGCTCCCGTAAACCTTAGGCAGTTCGAGTCCGGGCCAAGTTGCAGGCTCTGCCCACTAATTAGTAATCTTACGCGAACACCCACATCGTTCCAAAAGATGCTCATGCTGCATCTTGCCTTTAGTGGCTCGCCCTTCAGCGAAGACCTCCTGATGCAATATCCAAAGGTAACATGATCATCTGAAATCAACGCGATGACAAGGCAACTTGAAGATGGAAAAGATCGCTGCCCTCCTGTGCGTAGCCAGTGCTTCAGACCCGCATTGTTGGAAAGTTTCGGTGAAACGAGTGTACCGGAATACAATGGATTGAAACGCTAGGAAGAAGAAGAAAAGTGCGAATAAAGATGGCGGAAAATTGTAGCTAGCAAGACAAAGCTACCTCGAAGTTGTAACACTTGTTAGAGCTCCCTTCACTGAACATGAAGCCAGGAGCTTTAACATCGGCTAAGCGAGCTCACTACTTTTTCCGAGAAAGCGCCGATAAGTCGTCACTCCATTACAGACGGCATAAATTGGCCCGCTGTCAGTCGGTTGTTCATTTGAAAAATGCCTCTTCATATTACACGGAGAATGATATAAGCACAGCACCGACGTGACTAAGGAACCTATGGATCCTCTGATATCGCTGATATCGCTACCTTGACGTCCTTAAAACAATTATGGCTACATCACGAATTGCTCGTGGACCCTGGGGTGAAAACGCCACAACAGAAAAGGGAAACGTGGCTACTAGCGAGACATATGAAGCAGGGTAGTCAATTCTGACAAGCAAAAAGTCTGGATTTTTGGGCAGTGCAATGGAGTATGGTAATCGGAAGTGGTAAGTGTATGCGCAAGACTCGGCCGGCAAATGCTTTCTTATGAATCAGCAACGTAATGCTAATAGCGACGTTAGGTTGCCTTCATACTTTGCGGCCTAGCGTCTACCAGCGTTCACCAGCGACCGGGAGAAGAGAGTGTGGGGAAGTAGAGGGTAGCAAACAGCTGGATTAGACGTCGTGAAATTGCGGTGTGTGCAACCGCACCGTACAACTACACTACACCGTACATTAAATTGCATAATTCTGTGCTTTAGCAGTTGTGCGGTGCGGTTGCACACGCCGCAATTTCACGACGCCTAATCCAGCTGTTTGCTACCCTCCTACTTCCCCATACTCTCTACTCCCAGTCGCTGGTGGACGCTGCTAGACGCCGGCAGACTCTAGATCGATACCTATACTTGGTAGACACTGCTGACGCTGCTGCAAAGTGTGCACACAGCCTTGGTCCAATATATTGGGTCATTTCAAAGGTCTTTCATATAAAAAAAGCAGTCTTGGCAATT